GGTTCACCTGAGCAGGTTCGGGGGCGTGCAGGGCACAGGGGAGGTGTGAGGCTGAGGCCGGGGAGGGGGAACGAGAAGAGGGTGATTTCAGCCGTGCGGGGCAGCGGAGGGCACGCAGTCCTGGCGCTGCCACTCGGAGGTGGCTGCCGGAGCGGGAGGAGAGGGGATTTCCACCCTGCGCTCCCGAGCCTTGTGCCGTTCACCATCCCGGGATGTTTCCCCGCATCGGGTGCGGGCGGCTCTGGGCTGCCCGGGGCAGGAATGCTGCCTCTCCAACTTGCCCAAGTGATGTCCAAGCCCTCGGCACCGCCGCTGTTTCAAGGTGGAAAATCCCATTTGCGCATATCAAATTCCCTCACATATGGATTGCGCGTTGCTGCTGCTGAAATGCCTAAACTCTGTTCTCACCTGGAGTCAGGGGGTGATCAGACTGCCCCGAGTTTGATCCCGGGGCTGGCCTGTATTCCCGTTCCAATGAGGGAGTCCAGTGGACACGTGGGAGCTGCTCCCGCGCTGGAATTGTTCCCACTGAGGGCACCACTGCCCGGAACAGGTTTTTAAGGAGAATCAACTGATCATCCAGTTCCTTTCCTGTACTGTTTCTCAGAGTTTATTTGGATTGGCTGCATGAAGTCAGGCCTTACCAAACCCATCAGCTACGGGCACGCTCTTTTTTTTTTTTCTTTTTTAACTTTCTATCCCCTTTTTTTAATAAAAGGGGAGGGGAGCTGATGAGGAGGGGTGATCATACGACACTTGTGGCCATGTGGCCTTTGTTGCATCATGCTGGACCTGGACCACGGCCTGTCCCGGGGAAGGGGGGGGGAGGATGAGCGGGTGGATATCGGCGTCTGTGATCCCGGGAGCTCACATTCCATTGGGGGAAGTCCAGGGGAAAATCCCTGCGTCAGTCAAACCTGTGCCCTTGGAGCAGACGTGTCTCTCGTGAGGGCCTGGCACATCTTTTGTCCCTGGGCCTGCCTTGCTGCCGTCAGGGGCTGTGGGTTAATGCTTTGTGGATGTTCAGTGATGCTCAGGAGTTCAGCCAGGGGGGTCCTGTCCTCTGCTGCAGGGATCGCTTCAGGAGAAAAGTGGGGGATGGGGGAAGGCAAAGTTCAAAGCCTGATGCTTTTCAGAGCCTGATCATCCAGAAGGAAGAGACTGGTGGGGGGTATTGAGGATTCCTGTGCTTGGTGATTCCTGCGCCTCAAGGCAACGTGGTTTTCCTGGGTTGTTTACTGTGGGTGAAAACTGAATTCTCCCGAGTTCTGTTGTGTCTTGCCCGTGGCTGGTTTCTCCCCCATGGGTTGGTCAGGGCAGCAAGGTGCTGGGGGCTGATAACCTTATCGAGCACTTGTTGCTCTTACAACAAGTAAAGCAATGAAATCCCGTGTCTAGGGGGCCTTTCCAGACAGCAGATGACACTGCCTTGTTGCTGTGACCACCCTCACAGCCTGGCAGAGTTCAAGGGGGGAAGAAAAGATATTATTTTTTCCCCGTGGAGGCAGCGTGGAAGTGGGACAGGTTGTCCCTTCACTTCCACCCACCAGAATGGGTGAAGGCCTGAGAGCTGCTTGTGGCTGGAGCTGCTCAACCAAGCAAAGTGGTGGGAGAAATGAACCCAGCTCAAGAGAGATCACAAGTCAGGAGTTACAATTTACTAAAAAGATTACAATAAATACAATGATACAGAGAAAAACTGATTTTAAACCTCAAAACAGATGTATCACCCAGCACCCTGGGACAGGAACAGGATGGTTTTTATCAACCCCTGTGCTTAGCACCACGTGGCCCCCCCCGGGTGCAAAGTAAAAGAAAAGGAAAACCTGTTGGTCCTGGTGATGGTCAGAGTCCTGTTGGAGTGATGATCACAGGCTGGTCAAGAGTGGCAGTCCTGTTGGAGTTCTGGTGCCAGAAGTCCCAAAACCCTGAGATTATATATGCCCAGTTTCAGGTGGGAATGTCCAGGGTGGGGAGTTTACCAGTGGGTGATTTAACTCTTTGAGTTGTGAGATATTTTTGGAATCTTTGGTGGTCTGGGTATTGCAGCTGCCTGCTATGCCAGTCCAGTATGGCCCTTTAGCAGAGATGCCTCCTCAGGCTGGAGGATGAAGGTGCTGCTGCCTCCCCTGAGGGGAGTTATCACAGCTGACTCATTAGTGGGAAGACAGTGAAACACTCCTGGCAGAGTTCTTTAACACCCAGCTTGGCAGCCTGAGGTGCCAGGTGTGTCCCAGGCAGCTGCTGCAAATGATCCATCCGAAATGGCAGAGAGGGGGTAGAATACACACTTTTGGTTATACCCACGCAGTGACAAACTGATCCTGGCCCCTGTAACTCAGACACAGCGCCAGAAGCTGCTGGAGGGACGTGGATTTGATCCCTCCAAGGCTGGGGCTGGAGATGGCCCCGTTCCCGGGTTGGCTGGGGCTCTGGAGCTCTGTGCCGTGGTGCTGGTGGAGCTCTGTCGTCCTGCCCGTGGCCAGGCTGCTCTCAGTGGTGCTGGTTGTGGATCACCCTCTGCAGCCCCATGACTACCTGACCCGCTGGGGCTGGTTTTGGCACTCCCCCTTCTCCCTGTCCAAGTGTGGGAAGCGTCCGGGGCGGAGGTGAGGGATCAAGAGCCGAGCTGAGCTGTTGCTGTGGGGGCTGGTGACGCAGGGGACAGGCCAGGACCAGGACTGGCGTCTCTATTGTTCTGCCTTTGCAGGCAACTTCTGACTCACGGGAGAAATATTTGCTGGAAGAGGCAGATTTTGTGCTCCCTGTTGCAGGGGGGAAGGGGAAAGTGCCTCTTGCAGGCTGTCACTGTCGTGATATGTCATTCCTGCACACGGGAGAGGGGTGAAGGCTGGAGGTGGGGGCAGGTTCATACCCCTTGATGCCCGTGGAGCAGCTCTGTGCTGGCTGAGAGGCCAAGGGCATCGTCCCCGCCTTGGGTTAGGATTAGGGGACATTTAGGGTACCCTAAAGGCCTCCCAGACGCTGAGGGTTGTCCTCCTGCAGCTGGAGCGACCCAACCAGGGCAGGAAGAGCTGAGCCGGCAGAAAGGGCGGGCAGAGCCGGCGGAAACGTGGCTGTTGTGTTCCTGATCCGCAGCAGGATAACAGGGATAACAACCCAGGAACAGGCAGTGCTGTCCCCTGGGAGCCTCCAGCAGCCTTGTGGGCGCAGGAGCCACCTACCAGCCTTGACACGGGGCCGGTTTCCTCCCACAAACCTGTTCCTCTTCCCTGCCCTTCCCTTGAATTCGGGGCTCGGTTGGCGCGCTCAGAAATTGGGGAAGGAAAAGGGGTTCTGGTGTAATCCTAAGGAAGCGCTAGGGAGGCTTTGCCTTGCTGATAACCTGGCACGGGGGAATCCCCCTGCCAACGATTTGCCAAGGAAACACCCCCCTGGTGTAGGGGAGGTGCCCTTTGCCTGCACCAAGGTTTAGTCACGCTGTCCCAGAGCTCCTCTCCCACTTCACCCGAGCACATTGGCCACAGCAGCTCTGGCCCTTCTCTTTCTTCCCCTCCCCATGCACTTGGAGTGGTTTCTAACCCAGGTTGTTCTGCATTTTTTGACAGAGAGCTGCTTTTGGAACTGATGCAGCAGCGCTGAGCAGAAGGGACCATTTGGATCCCTCAGAGCCAAGCAGGGGAGGGACAGATTTGTACTACGTGCAAGAGAAGGGTCTCAATTGCCAGCCATGTCCCGCAGGTAGGATGGTGTCACAGCGATCCCTCCACGTGTAGCCTCGTTGTGTTCCTGCTGGCAGAGCCCAGCGGGGCCTTGCTCTTTGTGAGGGGCAGCAGGTGCTCCTTTTCTCCAGGCTGAGCCCCCTCCAGCTCCCTCAGCAGCTCCTGGTGCTCCAGACCCTTCCCTGGACATGCCCCAGGCCCTCAATGTCCCTCTCCCCATGACCCAGCCCTCGAGGTGCCCCAGCAGTGCCAGCACAGGGGGGCAATCCCTGCCCTGCTCCTGCCGGTCACGCTGGCTATGATACAGGCCAGGCGCCCTTCTTGGCCACCCAGCTGGCAAATCACCCCCCTCTCTGCTCAGACACCTCCTCCCTGCCCTGTGTGCTCAGAGCTGCCCTTTCCCCCCGCAGGCACCCACCTTGCAGATTTCTGCACAGAACCGAACGGCTCCAGCGAGTGTTCGCCCTGCAAGAGGGAGGAGTTCATGGAGTACCCCAACGTCTTCCACTCCTGCTATGAGTGTCGGAAGTGCAGGGAAGGTACAAGCTGCTGGGGGAAGGGGGCAGCGCTGGCTGATGGTGTCCCCAGGGGGTGGCTGGGAGCTCGGGGTGGTTGAGGAGCCGGCACAGAGCCACGTCTGCTGTCGCCCACAGATCAGGTGGAGCTGAGTCCCTGCCAGGCCACCAGGAACACGGAGTGTGCCTGCAAGGAGGGCACCTTCTGCGACCCGGACCTGCCCTGCGAGATGTGCGAGAAGTGCCAGCCCCGGTGAGCTGGGGGGGCCGCGGTGGGTCCGTGCGGGCAGCTCGGCTCCGGCTGCTGAGCCTGCCCTGTCTCCCCCTTTCCCAGGTGTCCCGAGGGGCAGATGGTGCTGTCTCCCTGCACTCCTTACAGGGATCTGCAGTGTGGTCCTGCCAAGGGCACCGACCTCTTCTGTAAGTAGAGGAGGGAGGATGGGCTGGGGGATGGAGGTGGGAGCTGCTGCTGAGGGGACTGGGAGCAGCTCCCACACCCCTGTTTTTTTGTGCTTTAGACGTCTGGATTATCATCGGGGTGGTGATCCTGGTGATTATTGTGCTTCTCATCTGTAAGTACCTCTCCTGTTGCCCAGGTGAGCAGTGGGAACAGGGGTCCCCCAGAGCACTTGCCTTGCCTGGGGGCTCTGCAGTGGCATGGGCTGGGTGGGAAGAGGGACCTACCTGGGGAAAGAGGGGTCACAGCATTGTTTCCATCTTCCAGGGAAGGGGAGAAGCCTGAGCACGAAATCCTCCAGTTTGAAGGTGAGCTGCTGGGATGGCAGCGGGGTGGTGGCTCTGTTTGTGGGGCTGGAGTGAGGTCATCCCTCCCCTCTGCTCCCCACTTGACCTGCAGCTCCTGGGGAGGCTGGAGGAGCAGGGGGATGAGTCTCACTCCTGCTGGGATGTGGTAGAGGGACCAGGCCATGGCAGGGCAGATGGCTGCAGCTGGAATCCTGACACCATCCGTGCTTCTCTCCTGCCACAGAACTACCTGACGCAAAAGCTGAGATGGTACAGGAGGGTGAACGTGGGGACACAGGACAACGACCTCAACGAGCAGCGCTCGCGGGACCAGCCGCTCCCCGTGGAGTCCCCGGTACAGAGTGACCCTCTGCCCTGCCCTGCCCTGCTTGGACAAGCTCTCATGCTTCCCTCTGCCTTCCCCAGGCTCATCAGCTTTGGGGGGAGTCCAGGGCTGGACCATGGTGTCCACAGGGAGGTCATGAGGGGTCTCCTGTCCTTATTCTGTGTTCAGAGCTGCAAAACCTGCTCGCTGCAGTCAACTGCCAGAGCCCTCTGTGGGTTTAAGGCTGCTGCTGAGCAAACAGCTCTCCTCTCCCTGGCCAGGACCCCACGAGGCAGCTCTCCCTGCTCGTGGCCTGCTGCCAGCCCAGAGCCAGGAAACCGGGATGTCCTGGGGGTGGAGGGGGGTGTCCTGCCCCAAGAACCCCTGGAGAGAGGGAGAGGGTCTCCAGTCCCTGCACTGGGGGGGCTTGGGGATAGCTTTTGTGCCAGGGCTTGGTGGGTGCTACAGACACTGCCATTGCAGGTGATGCTGCAGAGAGCCCCCTGTCCCAGGGAGAGACCCAGGAGGGATCTGGTTCCACAGACAGGGAAAGAGCCCATTCCGGGTAAGTGCTGGGGCCCAGTGGATGTGCTGGGGGGCAGAGGGGGTGGGATTTCTGCCCCATTCTCTGAGCTTTCCCCTTCCCCCTCCAGCGCTGAGAGGCACTTTCTACATCTTTGCTGGAATCAACTACAGCTACTGGAAGAAATTCGGCCGGAGCCTCGATGTGCAGGAGAACGATCTGCCCTTAGACCGGGCCCAGGACTCCTTCTATGAAATGCTCAACAAGTGGCTGGAGAGGGAGGGGTCCAAGGCCTCTGTGAACACGCTGCTGGAGACCCTGGACCAGCTCGGTCTCAGTGGGATTGCAGACGACATCTCCTCTGAACTGCTCAGGAGGGGATTATTTAAACCCGCAGGAGCCGAAGAGCAAGGCGGGTCCTGCGCCTCCGTTCCTTGACCTGAAGCCATGAAATACCTCGCAGGACACATGAATTTTAGCTGTTTTTAGCTCTGCCATGGCTCTTCTCTCTTAGAAGCCGTTGTAGACTTCAATTGAGCCAAGAGGAGCTGATCCTCTGGGGAAGTACGAACTTCGTGGTCCTCTCCCTGGTGCAGGTCCAGGCTCGCTGTCGGTGCTTCCTTAGAATTTCCAAGTGCTTCCTTGGTTGCACTGAATCGTTCACTGGTTAGTTTCTGTTGACTAAGTTGTGTTTTGAGTTCAGTTACATTAATGGTTCTGCTTGCTGTTGGGAACCAGTTTGAAAGTGGACTTGGAGTGGGGGGAGAGAACGATTTACTTGCACTACAATCACTGGGGTAGCCTAAGAAAAGGGACAGTGCAGGGATCATCTAGTCCAACCCCCCTGCCACGAGAAGGGACATCTTCCACTAGACCAGGTAGCTCCAAGCCCTGTCTAGCCTTGACCTTGAATGTTTCTAGGGATGGGGCAGCCACCACCTTTCTGGGTAACATGTGCCAGTGTTTAACCACGTCTTCATTTGAAAAAGGTTCTTCCCAATATTTCATCTAATTGGACCCTCCTTCAGAATGAAGCCATTCCCATGTCCTGTTACTCCAGGCTCTTGTCCCCAGTCCCTCTCCAGCTCTTCTGGAGCCCCTTTAAGCCTGGAAGGGGCTCTCAGGTCTCCCTGGAGGCTTCTCTTCTCCAGGTGAGCCCCCCCATCTCTCCCAGCCTGGCTCCAGAGCAGAGGGGCTCCAGCCACTGGAGCATCTCTGGGGCCTCTGGACTTACTCCAGCAGCTCCACATCCTTCTGATGCTGGAGACCCCAGAGCTGCAGGTGGGGTCTCACCAGAGCTGAGTAGAGAGGAAATCACCTCCCTGGACCTGCTGAGGGCAGTTTAGTTCCGTTCCCTTGGCTGTGGGGTGGCTTTGCAGTCCCTGTGTCTCCAGGCAGCGTGGAAAGGTGAATGCACTGAAGGTCTGAGAGTGACCGTGGGTACCTGCCATCCATCCCCCAGCTGCATGGGTTGCTTCTCAAGCACTTCCCCTCTCACACATAGCTCAGGGACAACTTAGCTGGAAAAACTACTGGATTACTTGAGCTGGCTAGATGTGCTGCCACCCCAGTACAGCCCAGTCCATCAGGACCTTCCCCAGAGTGGTGGGAGCAGCCTAGGGCTGCCCTTTGCTGCCCATCACTCACCCCTCCTGCTCCCCCCCCTTCTCCCCTGCTTGGTGCCACTGAAAAAACCACATGGAGACGAGTAGGATTTGTGTGTTTATGTATTTATTTACCAACTGTTTACATGTCTTAACTTAAAATTTTAATATAAAAATATCGGTATTTTGGTATGCATGGTTGTGTGTGTTTATACAGAGCTCTGGCCCAGCCAGTTTGTTTATATCCAGTTTTTACATTTCTCTTTATGAAGGAAGAATTAACTTTTTTTTAAAAAAAAAAAAATCCTCCTGATTTCTCATCTGGTTTTATTTCCCTCCCCCCCCCCTCCACACACCCTGTGCTCTGCCAGGGTTTCAGTGGGCACCAAAGGAGCTGGACCAGATGCTCAGCAGCTGCTCCCTGTGGTGCCAAGGACCCAGCCCATGGAATTCGTGCATCCCACTGGGAATGCTCCCTGCCAGCGACGCTTCTGCTGGGGAAAAAGCCCTCAGCAGCCAACCTGGCCTCTGCCTTTACCCCTACACCATGAGTCCTGTGCTCTTTGCTCCCTGCAAGAATAGGAGGGTGAAGTCTGTCCCCCGTGCAGGGGGTGGGACCCCCAGGGCCAAGGGGGGGGCCACGAAACGCTGACCCCGGGCTGGAGCTGCTCCAGCTCCACCCAGCCAGGGCTCTGTGTGCTGCAATAGCTGTGTGGCAAATCCATGCAGTGCTTTAAGTGAGAAGAGGGCTCTGCTGGCCCCAAAAAAAGCCCCTGGGGCTGCCCACCAGCCCCTGCACTGCAGTGGGGGTTTATCAGCAGCGCTGGGGCGGGTGCAAAAAGCAGGAGCCCTGCCGGGAGGGTTCGTGCCCAAGGGCCTGTCCTGGGCAGCCCCTCGTGCCTGCCGAGCATGCAAACCTGGGCAGGGAGCTCCTGCAGAGCCAGGCACATGCAGGATGGAGGGCTGGGACACGGGGCCTGGCCTGGGGGGGACACGCAGGACCGGGCGCCCCGAGTGGAAAGGGAAAGAAACTCATGGTCCTACCTGCTCGTTGGGGCTGCAGAGGGTGAGAACACCCCGGGTGAGCTCGCTGGAGCTGCCACCTCGCTCCTGCATCCATGGGAGCATGCGGAATGAGAGGCTCCAAGGTGCTCTTCGAGGCCAGCTGGGAAGAGGAGCAAGGTGGAGTGGGAGGGGACACACCGGGAGCGTCCCCATGTGCTCCCTCCAGCTGCAGCCTCTGCCAGGGACGGGCTCTTCCCCATCCCAGCTGGGGAGGGCAAGCCGAGGGTTTGGGTCCTTCCTGACAGCCCTGCAAAGCCCTGGGGCTGTGGACCTGCAGGGACAGGGGTAGGACACGCAGAGTTAGTCTGATGGGAAAGCCACCTCCCCTTGTGCCAGGGGTTTTGATGGATGGATGGATCCTGCAGTGCTGCCCTGTCCCTGTCCGTCCTGGGAGCGCTGGAAGGGGGGTGCTGGTGTCACCCCAAGCAGGGCACAAGGATGTGCTGTGTCCAGGCGCTCCCTCCCACACACACAGGGACCACGCTGGGCTTTGAAAATACCATTTATTCCAATGGAGCCTTCCAGGCTAAAAGCCCAAGCCGAGGGCCTGGGGTTGGTTTCTGCTGTGGCAGGATGGGGGAGTGGGTTTGGGATCGGCTTGGGGTTTTTTTTGTTTGTTTTTTTTGCTTTAAGTTTTCCTTTTAAAACAAAAAGAATGGGGAGGAGAGGACTCCAGTCCCCTCCACACCCTGAATTAGGGACCCCACTTGTAGGGGAATATGCTGCAGTGCCTGGAGGCATTTGGGGACCAGGGTCCCCTGCACTGTGCCTGATCCTGCTGTGAGTCAAAGGGGGTGGTAGGACCCCCACAGTGGCTCTGGGTGCCATCAGACACACAAACCATATCCCAACAGCTTCTGGTTACAAATCAAAGTGGAAGCAGGATGCATTACTTCTTCTTCTCCTTCCTCATGCTGCTGATGTTCCAAACAAACAAAACGACAACAACAAAAAAAAAGAAAAAATCCAAAATAAAAGCACAACACAGCCCTCGTGCTCCTGTAAACATGAGTTTCTCCTGCTGCTCGGGCTCTGCCAGTCCTGCGGCGCTGGCACGGCGGCGCGGGGAGAGCAGGGCTCCAGGAGCACCAGGGGCTGGCCCTGAGCCCCCCCAGCAGGGACAGACCCCCGTGGCCACCAATCTCCTCGGGGGCTTTGGCCCGCGGCGTCTGCTGCACGCCTGGCGCTGGGGCAGGTCACCCCCTGCTTCCTCCTCCTCCTCCTCCTCCTCCTCCTCCTCCTCCTCCTCCTCCTCCTCCTCCCCGTCTCCTCCCAGGGATGCTGGAGCCAGGGCAAGGACGGGCTTTCAAACCACAGCTGAGGAGGAGGAGGAGGAGGACGAAGAGGAGGCTGTGGCTGCCGACGATGAAGGAGAGGAAGAAGGGGAGGAGGAGGCGTTCCAGAAGAGCCACCGCCTCTTGGGCTGCCGTTTGAGGTGGAGGTAGTCTTCCTTCTCCCGCTCCTTCTTCGCCCGCTGGTAGTGATCCTCCTCCTTCAGGTACCACACCGGCGGCCAGCGGTGCTTCTCAAAGTACTCCTGGTTCTCTGCAGGGAGATGGTGGGAGGAGCAGGAGGGTGAGGGCAGTGCCAGGACCATCAGGATCCCCCCCCATCCCCACCATCCCACCCTGACTCCCACTGACCTCCCGACATGGCCTTCATGTCCCGGGGGAACTTGCGGCAGACGTTGTTGTAGTTGGTGCAGATGTGATGGAGGCACCAGTCGGCGAGCTGGTAGGCGCAGTGGAACTGCAGGAGATGGAGCCCCACATCAGAGCCCCCAGGTGTGGACAGCAGGAGGGATTCACCCTATTCCTCCACCGACAGCCAAGCTTGTCCCCTCTGCCAGGGCAGCATCATCCCCCCTCCAACAGCCACCAGACCTCACCACCCAGCACCTCGTGCCTCCCCAGCCCTGCCAGCACCGGGGTTCTGTCCTACCTGAGCCAGCTCCAGGAACACGAGCACATCCCCGTCGATGTCCACCATCATCTGGGCCGCCTCCATCAAGCCAGTGACCGTGTACTGCTCTGTTGGGGGGGACACACATGGGGTCACAGGGGGGCCAGGGGGACACACCCACCCTAGCTCGGGGACAGAGGGGTCACCGCCCTGCCACAGCCCCCCGGGCTCACCTGTGAGAGCCACCAGGTGCGGCAGGCAGAGGCGGTTGGCGAGGATGATGAGCTTCATGTCGTCGAGGTCGGGGCTGGAGCTGAACTGCCCCGTGTACAGGTACTCCAGCACCGCCCGCATGCAGCTCTTGCTGGTGTGAGGAAGTGCCACCTGCGAGACACACACACACACACATATGAGGTGTCACCTCCTGGCCGTGCCCACCTGCCTCCCAGGACAGCCCCAGGACCCCTCCTCACCTCGTTGGTGGAGCTCTCCACGAAGGGGCCACCGAACATCGCGGCCATCCAGTCGCAGCTGGAGATGAGCAGGGGCTTGTGGGCACTGATAGCACCGTCATCCAGCACGAAGGTGACATCTGGGGACAAGCAGAGCGATGCTACCAGGACTGCCTCCATCACCCGGGGCTCAGCCACCCCCTGCCACAAAGTGTCTCGCACCAGGAAAGGGGCGGAGCCTGGCACATCCTATATTCTTCCTTTAAAAATCTCCCATCCTTTTTCCAGCTTCCCCCACCAGCTCAGAGGGCTTCCCTGAGCCCCAGCAGTGCTCAGGCTGCTCTGAGGGATTTTCCCAGGTCATTCCGCAACACATTTGAAAGCAAAGGAAGCAAACGTCTCGCCCAAGTTTGAGTCCTTGGAGAACTGGGAAGGACACTGGGGAACTCCTGCCCCCCCTCCTCTGCTCTCC